CCTAAAACTGTATTCACTTTAAAAATCCTTTTTCTCTCTGTTCTTTAGGTTAGTGCATTAATTTTGAACTTCACTTTCACTGTCCTACCTTTTGTCTCAATTATGTGATTTTTAAAATTTAATATTTTTCATTTCTGATATTTAACTCTAGTTTTTCTTTAGAAATTTAATTTCTCTACTGACATTTTCTATCTTTTCCTTTATTATGATCACACTTTACTCTCAATCCTTGCTAATTGTTATATTAGCTGATTGTAAATCTTTGTCAGCGATTACTCACATCTGAATAAAATCATGCTATCTTCATTAATAGCAGGCATTGTATTTTTGATATGTTTTGTATCTTCATTTGTTATGAACATCAGATTGTATCCTGGACATTGTGAAGGATGTACAATAGAAGGGTGAATTCTGTTAGATTTATTTGAAGAGTATTAATTTATTTCTCTCGCCTTGTTTTCTAACTCAGTTAAATTGACTGTACTCTCTCTACACATTCTTTTCCCCATGTAGTGGGTATTAAATGGGAATTCCAGGTGAAAACTTTAAACCTAAGGCGGAGCATGGCGTCTGTGTCTTATTTACTTGATTTGGAGATGACCAAAAGATTTGGGAAGAACCAGTGCATCCCTTCTCTAGGTCTCTCCTTTACCAGATTTTCTTACACTTTCTTGCTATGGTTTCCTCAGATGCTGTTGACTGACTATACAAGAAAGTAAATTTTTTATTTCTATTAAATTTTAATAGTTCTTCATGGCTGGAATTGGAGTCATTATTTAAGCTAAAATCCAAAAAAATGGGAATCTTATTCAGTCCATTCCCTTTTATTCAGAATTGGTTCCTATATCTTTATTTTCCTGGAAAGGTCTTCTTATTATAAAAAAATTTCAGAGTTTGTTATCTTTGATAGGATTGGTTCTGTGGGAACTATCTAACCATGGCTGAGAACTAGAGATGTGTCCTTAGCTTGTGAGCACTCCAGTCCCTTACATTGTTGTGACTTTTCTTATATTTAGTGAAAGTATGTTTTTATTGTTGAATTTAGTGCCTACTCAGAAGTTGGTGCTCTGGCCTGATTCCTTAGAGTCATTCTTTCTGTTGTCCTAGTTTATGCTTTGTCTAATTAGAGTCTTACCCGTATTTGAAAAGTGTAAAATTTCCAGGGAAAGTGAGCAGCTCGTATTGACACTCAGGAGAGTTTGATGAAATGAAAGTAAGCAAAGTGCCAGTTAGGCTGAACCTCAGGAAAAAGTATCTAATGGTGAAATTTGTGAGACTAAACAGTCTGGCAAGGGAACTTTCTCTGAGCTCTTTCAAACTGAATTGGAAAAGTCAGGGGAAAAACAAGTAATAAGTCCCAAGTCCTGTATTGGTAGATGGACAATTTGCATGACCTGAGAGTTAGCATTCCCAGTGGCCGTTATATTGCTTGGTCATTAGCAGGAAATTTCTTTAGAGGTTACATTATTATGAGTATCTGGATTCGAGTGAAAAAGTGGAGTCCTCTTGAAAGTTTATAATTAATGATAAAAATGGTCCTGGAGTGGAAGAAATTGGATAATATTCATTTTGTGAAATTCTGTGATGGTTGGTACTGCAACTAGCTTGTTTATCATTGCCTTACTGATGTACCACTTTACTTTTATTCCCAGTTGATTTTGGTAAAAGTGTAGAAATAACTAAATGGAAGAAAGATGGCCTTTTCAGCAGATAGTTGCTAGAGTATCAGCAGGCAAGAACATGAACTAAATCTTATATTTTATAGAAAAATCAACTAAAAATGAACTACAGATTTAAATTTAAAACATTAGACTGTAAATTTAAAACACACTTAACATGTGTTTTAGAATCCAGGTATAGATAAGTAGTTTTTAAATTTGACATGAGAAGTACAGTTTGTAAAAGAAAAATTAATAATAGAGATTTAATAAATTTTAAAGCTTGCTTTGCAAAAAACCTTGTGAAAAGGGAAAAAGGCAAGCTACAGACTGGAAAAAAATATTTTCAAAACACATGCATTAGAGGACCAGTATCTAGAATATATAAGTAACTCAAAATGCAACAGTTAAAAACAAAACAAAACAAAGAATTTAGTTAGAAAAATGGGCAAAAGGCAGGAACAGTCATTTTCCTTTAGAGAACATAAGGTAGCAAATAAGCATGTGAAAATGGTTTAGAATCATTAACTGTTAGGATAATGTAAATTAACACCACAATGCAATATCAATACCCACTTATCAGAAAGAGTCAAAAAAAGAAGGTAAAAATGGGTGTGAGGCTATTGAAACATTGTGTCACACAGGTTTCACTGGTGGGAGTATGAATCACTCTGGAAAACAATTTGACTGATACTTAGTAACATTAAATAAACTCTTAGATGTGACCTAGTAATCACACATGGGATATTTATTACTGAGAAGTGAAAACTTATTTTACCCCCAAAATATTGAACAGTATTCAGAGAATCTTTATTCTTAGTAGCTCAAAAGTAGAAATAGCCCTTATGTCCTTCAACTGAAGAATGATTGAACAAATTGTAGTACATCTAAAATGGAAAGCTATTCAATAGTAATAATAAAAAAAAAAGTGAACTATTCATGAATACAAAATGTTTGTTAATCTTGGGAAATTTGCTAAATAAAAAAGCCAATCTTAAAGTGATTTCATTTATATAACTAATTTGTGAAATGGTAAAATTAAAAATAGGAATATATTAATGGTTGCTAGGGTTTTGAGATAGAGCACCATGATGGAACTATGGTGATAGAAGGTGTTCTTGATTTTAGTGATTGATGAAGGAATGCACATGTGACATAAAATTACACAGAATGTAAAACACATACACACAAATGAATACATGTAAAATTAGGGAAATCTGGATAAGATGGGTAAATTATATTAGTGTTTGTTTCCTGGTTGTAACATTGTACTAAAGTTTCAAGATGTTGCATTTAGGTAACTGATAAAATCAACATAGGCTCT